CAAATTTAGTTGGTTAAACCCTTGTTGTTTTGTTTGCTATGGTTTTATGTTCACGCTGTGGGTCCGGTTTGTTATCCAAGTATCAAGATTTCTACCGTTTTCTAATTGTTAAGCCCGTCGTCATCGCCGCGATGTTTCGTGTTGTGAAAGGAAGATTTGATGATCGGATCCTGGTTTGCTGCCAGTTTATCTATAGATAATTCTATACTTTGTGGTAGTGTTTCTATTTCATAAGTTTGTCCGTTTGACAATCTCATTTCTTCATTCACATCTTTCATTAATATCAATACCAACTTCATTACAATATTTTGAGACAAAATGTGTTCTATTGCTTTATGATTAACCTAAACTCTCACCTTGTGTCATTTCATGAAATAGATGAAAATAAATTAGACTAGTTTTATGCTCTTTCATGAGATCTCAACCATTTTTTTATTCCAGTATTGTATTTTCTTTGTTTTGTAAAACCAATAAGTTTGCGTGACAATTTTACATATGATTTTTATTTCTTGAAATTACTTCTTTTGCTTCTTTTTTTTTGTATTCTACACTCTCCATGTCTTTAAAACTTTGTCATTACATTGGACTTTTTCCTTGTAATAATGTTCAAGTTTGGTAGAAATTTGCAATTCATACTTTTGCATGCATAACATTGACGAGTATAACAAACTCCAGCTACTACTTAAGTCATTTCATTACTTGAATACTCATGCAAATTTGGAATCAATGATTGCCAAATTTCACCTTCAAATTTTGATGATATTTCTTGTGGTGGTGCATAATCTTCTCTACATCAAAGATTTTTCAACTTCACTAGTGTAGTATTGGTTAGATCTTGAACAATGCTTGATGGGTTAACGTGTGTGATTACATAAGCATCTAAAATTTCTTGTACAATTGCAATTGTTTGATTTTATGTGGTAAATTTCTTTTGTGCTTAATCTTTCATATCTTATTTGAAGACATTTAAGGATTTTGCTCCAGTTAATCCATGTCTAGCTATATCTAACAGTCAATAATTTCAATGACACTCTTAATACTCTCACTCTAGTCATAAAATCTACACTCAAATATGTCACAATGTAAATCCAAAATTATATTTTTCTATAAAATAAAAATAAATATCAAAGAGTTTGGAGATCCACCATTGCAATATTAGATTTTTCCCATGCAAATATATTTCGGCATACTTATGAACTTTTAATTCTTTTTGTACATTCAAATCAAATCAATGAACTTTGTCAATCACTATATACTCTTAGATACTAATTATTATCATCACATTCTTGCTTATCCATGAATGATAATTTACATTCAAGGAAAGAAGAAAGTAACTCTGAAACCATTGCAACACTAAAGATCAAGACAATATTTCATTTGGAAATGGAACACAACTATGAAGATGATAGTTACTAGATTCCACTCTCCCTAACATAGATTTTACCAACAAATAAAATAAAATATGATGTCATTACTATACAGTTCATTTCTAATGAATTAATAACATGATGGACAACCTTAACAAACATAAGGATTTTTGACGTGTTATTTTCTACAAATATACTTACTATAATCTACCATATAGACAAATTGTTAACGTGACATCTATGAATAACTAAAACTTTAGATAACACTGTAAGAGAACTAGAACTTCATTTGGAATAGCTTCTATTTTAGTTTATCAATCAAACATGTAAATTGAATTGATTCTTTAAACACTTATAAACAGTTTTCATAAAGTTTGATTCAAGTAGTGTAAACATCTTTAATTATTAAAATAAGAGTAAATTTAACTCAAAATAAAAAATGGTTGCATTTTGATGTATTAAAATAATTTTCAAAATAAAATATTTTCCTCAATGAAAATTTAATTCATCATTTGATTCAATTTTGAAATCAATTAGAAATCTACATTATAAATCTTAGGTTTGTTTACTTTTTATTTAAGAAACATTAAAATAGAAATTAATCAAGATAGAATATAGTTTAATATTAATTATTATTCATAGTCGTTTTGAAAATACTACATGTGCTTGGTAGATAAAGCGAAAGTGTGTTAGTTAATAATAACAAGTTCTCAATTCATGAATTTGTTAAAATGATTAACCATGTCATCAATTTATATGAGTTAAATGTATGATGGAGTTGATATCTTATTTATTTGAATTTTTTGGTAAAATTTATAAAAGAAAAGAACACTATTTTAGATTTCTTTCATTTTCAAAATTATGTTTCATTTTTAAATAAACTAATAAATTCTTGAAAATATTGATAAGACCATTAAACATGTTCATTTTGCAAAAATATATTTTCCCCTATCGATCAACTATAATATTTGAAATGCTTCATTTTGAATTATTATGCAAATTTTGTATATAAATTTTAATTCATTTTCATGTTTTGTTTACTTATATAAAGATGTTTTCACATGCTCTTGTTAGACCAATTTTGATGTTCAGTACCATGACAACACATCTGCATTTTTGTCATCCTAAACTTACACATACGGGTTTTTATGGTCACTCATTTGGATTGGACTGTAACAATTGATATCTTTATGTTGATTATGTCATTAGGAAAACATTGCAGCCGTCACAAATATTGAACCCCCGACAGGAATTGAACCCGTATAACATGTATATTGAAGGCTTTAGTGTAGTGAAATATGGAGAAAACGAACGTGAACTTTACTGTTAGTTAAACTTGCCAATATTAATAAGAATTTCACAACAAATGGCATGCAGATTTCCTCCGAAGGACATGTGTTCTGTACTCATCATCAAGCCTGTTCGTGGTATCGTACTCACGTTAAATCTTGAAATTCACGGCATGTTAGTACTTGGTCCATTGTTGGTTGGTTCTTAAATCCGCGACGGTATTACTTAACGCTAAATATCTCTCTACGTCAACAGAGCAACATGGATAGCTTGTCAAATATTGCAGAAAACTCAGATCATGAAATATATAATACAGAGTCACGGGGGACATACTATGTGAAATAAAGAGCACCAAGCAGCTGTCGTGATCCTGAATCTCTACCGCGCCCCACCACCCGATCTTTCCAACATTCCTTGGACAGAAACTTGTCAATTTGTCAAATTTCTCCAGAGAACGTCAAACTCGCAAAGCATACCGTCCCTTAGTCTTGAGTAGGACTCGACCGAAGAGACGTCTCCGTTACGATGTCGTACACCACCATATTGCACTGAATCTCAGTGCAATATGCAAAGTTCCGGAAATCTAACTTACACAGAGCAGTGTAGCTGACAGGGCAATCCGTGAGAGGGCCCATAAGGCAATTCGCCTGTAAACGCTTTGGTCCAATGTACACCATCCCATTTGACATACCAGTCCGGATTTACACATTTCTTGGACCCTGGATTACCACAAGTGACGAGTGGCTTGTAGTTGTGGGTTTCAAGTCCAGGCGCTCCGAAACACGCATGCTTGGTCAAAGTTGGAGTGAATCCTGTCATTAAACAGCGGAAGATGTCGAGAGAACGTGAGACCTTCAGTCATTCACGCATTCGTAGAAGAAGTCCCACGGAACATGTATCAACTCTAAAGTTTTTGTAGTGCAATTTCAAGTTGGGAGTATGTTTAGATTATACCGTAATCTCAAATTCTCCAAGTTGGCAGCTTAGTAGTTGAAGATGGAGTTGGTGCTACCAAAATATAAAAGTCGAGCAGATGCAAGTGTATCATTAAGAGCTTTGTTGTAGGCTTGATCCAGCTCATTGATAACACAATACAGCCCATAGCGTCATCTTGTACCCCGGAAATGGAGGCCAGAACAGTCATAGCTATGGTGCTGCAGCATGCATCCTGCATTAGGAGTAATGAAGAAGAGAATATTTTTTGGCCCTATTTGAAGTTCAGATCTGGACAACAAACGATGAAATGAGACTACTTGGCTCATCATCTGTAACTCTCAAAAGTAAAAAAGGAAACACCAACAAAATGGACATCTGATTATTCTAATTCTCAGCATGGAATGATCACTACAAGCTTGGCTAAAAGTGCACAAAGTTTCAAGCTTGTTAGCTTAGCAGAACAATCCTCAAACATTCATTGAAACATGTGTCAACGTTCATGTGTAACATAGCAAATCTGATCTCAATACATTTTTTCCCCTAAATCCCCGAATTCCTAGGAGGATCTTCAAATTGTCTGTGCAAGGATAACAAAGATGCTATTCATTCAGATTAGTCATAATACTTACATACTTACGTAACTACTTCAAATGTTGAAGACCCGTCCATAATTTAAAGATAATTGTGAAATGATTTCAAGCCCTATGTGATCCACAACCTTATTATGTCTTGAACTCATGTGAGAATTGTTTGAATATCCAATACTGATGAGGAAAAATTAAACAAATAAGTTTTGTCATCATTTATTTGGAGTAATAAACAATTATTTGCACTGCAAGGTACTATTCTAGACATTTTGATATCTTTCTGTCATCATAACTATAAATAATCAGTGTATGATATTCAATCTAAAATATGTTTCAGTACATATAATAGATGATATAACACTAAAATGCTCCAGATAGTTTATAAGCGACTTATCGATTCTGTCAACATCTGAAAGAGTATGCTCGCTCATGCAAATTTGCACTTAATAACATTGGACAATTGCTGCCATTTCTTCACATCGAAACAAACTCAAGCATTTTTTCAGTATCTGTGGGCACCTGGCGTGCAAACAAATTCAAAAGTATCAAAACCATTGACTTCCATAAAACACCTGGTACTATTCTTAGAATGGAGGATAGAATTGAGTGGAACGTCACTGAATTTCTATACTTACGAATGGGCGTAAGAGTCTGCTCAACAAAAAGGAAAAGACAAAGAGTACAGAATACAAAGTAGTGAAAACCCGTATGTCTTACCTTCATTTCTAGCAGAGTTAAATCAGGCAAAATATCGGGCGGAAAGACAAACAATGTGGAGAAATCGGAGTGAAGATCATACATGGAGCATTTGGGTGTACTTGTAAGACACCAGTCCAAGAACTCTGAATATAACCGGTGGTTTGTGTTCACGACTTACAATCACATGATATAGATTGTACCTATATCAAGTAATTGAAAATACGAAGTAGCCTTATACTTCTCGCCCTTGAAAGAATGCTTGTTGTTGAGTTAAAGCATTAGACAATGGGTTCCTCTGCTGTTCTTCAATATGATAGCTTTTTAAGGATGCGTTGAATGGTAGCTGATTCTTGGACTGATGTCCTATAGGTACACCTGAATGGTCAGTGTATGCTCTTCACTCCAATTTGTACACATTGCCTGTACTTTTGCCCAGTTATTTTGCCTGATTCGAAACTGCTAGAATTGAAGATAAAACATACGGTTTTGTTTTCACTCTCTCGTCTTCTGTACTCTTTGTCTTTTACTCTTTGTCGAGCAGACTCATATACCCGTTCGTGAAGCGTAGTTGTTGAAGATGGAGAAAATTCTTCCATGATATGAAAACCGAGCAGTTGCGATTGTATCACTAGGAGCTTTGTTGTAGGCATGATCCTGCTGATTGATAAACAGAAAACAGCCCATAGCGTCTTCTTGTACCACGGGTATGGATCCCACAAGAGTCATAACTATGGTGCTGCAGCCTGACTTAGCAAGATTGGAGAAAAGAAACTTTTCGGCACCATTTCAAGTCAAGATCTGTACATCAAGAAATCAAATGAGACACTTTTGCTCATCATCCACACCTCTCAAAAGGCAAAAGGGCACCTGGAACACAGATAATCTAAGTAACTTTATTATTATTCATTAGATATTTAGTAGAAGCTTGCGTTCAAGTACATTGATAAGATGATAATGGATAGATGATACAAGCTTGTTTGTATCATTCATACATAATATCTTATCATTGTTCTTGGCTGTGGATGGTCATAGCAGATTAATCCTAAAGCCTTAATTCTGTGATTTGTCACCATCGCACAGTTTCGTTAAATCTTCTTCAATGACTTAGTATTTGTAATGATCTTAGCTCGTCCGGTTGCTACTTTTTCCATATATTGTGAGCAGCAAGAAGAGGGTGGGCAAAGTCTGCGCAATGCCTTTTCTTTCTCTCATGAAAAGTTTACCTTGATATTGGCGATGATGTTTATCATGGCCTCAGCGATCACTTCAGCAGTTGCGCTGCAGTCTAGTTTTTGAGTAAGATGGCATCCTCCGATTTCAACGCTGTACAATCTTTCTTCATAGGATTCATGTCGAGGCAGAAATCGCTTGGATGGCACGCACGCTGGATAAACAGTCGGAGGACAAGTTTATGGTGTTAGTAATAGGAACAGATAGGATCATAAAGCTGAACCCACATCCTCGATGAAGTGATTAGCTTCCTATATAGCAAACGAGAACTCTTAATAAGCGGTGCTTTTCAGCGGCTTGTACTGATCTTGCTTCCACTGAAGAAAACCCCACCTGTGCTAACAATCCAAATTCTTCATCAAGGTCTCTGTAAGTTGTGCACAACTTTTTATGGATGTAATGAAGTCGGTAAGCAGTACTAGAAGAAGAGTTAACTCGAAGTATTATCTAATGCTTTAACTGAACAACAAACGTTCCTTCAAAGGCGGGAAGTAAAAAAGCACACATTCTGTCTGCCTACATGCCCAAGACTAATCCGGTCATAATGCAAATTTGGGCAGCGTATCTGAACTTACTCCCGTTCAGCTACGCTGCCCAAATTTGTATTATGACCCGCTTACTTTGGCATGTAGGACTACAGAATGTGTGCTTTTAGCTTAACTTTCTCCGCTTCATCTATGCCGTTGGAGATTACCTCCGCCTAAAAAATGTGATTGTTATTCGATGTAACATTATTTAATTTCGGATGTTACGAACATTTTTCCTCTGAATATAAATATGAGACATATCGGATAGGAAGAAACCGGTTAGTCTGAGGTAATCAACTATTGCCATGCACCGAGCTCTGAATTTGAATTTGGCTGAAGCAAATGTCGACACGGGCTTCCGAAGGCGCTCATGGTTTGAAAAGCACCGTTGCGAGCTGTTCTCGGCTATTCTTGGGACGGAAAGGCGCCCAAGCCGCGCCTAGGCTCAAGACAGGACAGTACGTAACGCTTTCTTTGAGATCGGCCCCTCATGGAACAACTGTTCCCGGAGGTATATTCTTATAGCGGAAAAAGGTGCCGTCGTGTGTGAGGGGTGGTCGAGGGATCCATTCCTGCACTATCGGCGATCTAAGTAATAGCTGCAAGCATCTATTCTATTCGGAACAACTCATTCCACAATTTCTCTAAGCGTGAGCTAATCTGCACTTGAGCTCAGAAACTCGCTGATTTCGAGAGCTGTATCCTTTGCCAGGTCTGATCTCCTCAACAAGCCCGTGAAGTTGAATGTTTGTCCATTTTCCTTACTGTCTATACGTCGGACCCGCACAGGACGCACGTGGGACGTATATTATATAACGCGTGATGCAACCAGTTTCATCGTGTTTGAACACGATGAAGCATGACAGGAAGAAGCCAATCTCGGAGACAAAAATGTCAGTGTGTTCTTCGGAAAATGAGAGACCGATTCCAGGATACCACCAGCGCATCTTGCGAGCGAGTTGCAGTTGTGAAATCAGCATCGGTATCTCAATGCAAACTCTAAAGGTTACAAAAAATTTCGATCTTGACTGTGTAAACTGTGTAAACGCGGCTGACGGTGATATTTCCATATTCGATATGACGCCAGTGTACCACCACTCGGATGATATGTTGCGAGCGAGTTGCAGTTGTGAAATCAGCATCGGTATCTCAATGCAAACTCTAATGGTTACAAAAAATTTCGATCTTGACTGTGTAAACGCGGCTGACGGTGATATTTCCATACTCGATATGACGCCAGTGTACCACCACTCGGATGATATGTTGAGAATGAAGTATCGAGCCTACGGTGCCATATGGGTCCCCGTTCTCAGCTGAGTCATATGGCAAAGAGTGCGCTTCACTCTCAGGTGGTGGATGCATTCAACGTCACCATCACGGGGCATTCGTGATAGCTGTGGGAGGCACTGCATCCCACACCATCAATGAAGATCCGGCCTCAGGATCACCTTTCAAGGTTTGTTTCCACGCGAGCAAACCATCACTGTATTCCAAAGCACTGTTACACCACTGTTGAAACACTACGAATACGACACTTCCATGATTCGTCTATCCTTCCCGCTGAAAAAATAATGTTTGACTGTTTTAAACAGTATCTTCTTCTCCCCAAGTTAGCCTGTAGATTCACAGTGTGAGTTCCATCTGAAGACTGGAACGGAACTCCCATGGCCGCAGATTAACTCTGGAAAGCTAGTTCCAGAGTTAATCTGGACCCCAAATCACCTCCTGAAGTAAACGATAATTTTCTCGAGAGCTGACTTATTCTGATGTCGTCTAGCTGTGAAGACCATGTGTTATCTCTTTATGAACACTGAGGTGGAGGAGTTCCAATCTCAAGTCTTGTAACATAACTTTATCACTAGATGGAGAAAATTTTGCACAATATGTTATTTTATAAATCTTCACAGTTCAGGTAATCATATGTGCATCTTAGTTCTTGTTGTAGTGGAGTACCATGAATCAGTTTTCGTTTTTAGATATTCTGAGACGTTTCTCCAAATAAGGTATCCGTGATTTAAACTGGTATTTTTAGGTGACTTCATTATCCTCTACTAGCACATTAGATGGGTTTCCAAAATAAATCTTTCTCTAGATTCTCAGACTGGATCAAATCATCACTTGCTTTTTCTGTTGTTAGTATGTCTGCAGGTGAAAACGAGAGTTGATTATCTACATTTAACCTGTATCCGTGATGGTCTGACGTTTTTTGAAATCTTACTGACTCCCTGATGTCCATTCTCTAAAATCTTATCATCATCTTTTTGTTATGTAGCTCTAAAAATTATATAAATGTTGGTCAGAGACTTGATGTAAGCCAAAGAAAGACATGCTTCATTGACAAAACTATGCGTGCACTATTCAGAAACTATTTAATTTTGAGATATGTGCAGAATGAGGTATATATATTCAGTCACCTTTTTTTTCTCTGATAAATGTTTCAAACATAATATCTACTCGTAATCTTACACGATGTAAATAGGAAATATATTTTCCACTATGGGTTGAACACTCAAACATACGCGAAGTTTATATTTTACAGTTAACCTTGGTGGTTGAAATGTGCCAAAATTGATGTATTTCTCTGAAAGCTGTTAATCCCACACTCATGATTAGAGATGCTCATAAAACTGCCTGGAGTAAAGAATATAAAAGTCTTGTGAATGACACATAATCTGTGAGGTTTTACATTGGCTTTCATGCTGATGCCCGCGTTTGACCCGAAAAAGTCCTGAGGGCATAATTGTATAATCGTTGGAACTTATCAATTAAAGAAGAGATGGAGCTTAAATTTGGATATTGAATTTTCTGATCGAGCCTCTTCATTTAGAATAGTACATTTTGATGCAGGAATGAATTCTCTTGTGAATGAGTGTCATTCGATTCTATCAGATCTTCGCCTTTTCATCCGCGCCTTTGGGTTTGGGTTTTCAAAAGTTAATCACCTCATCCATTTTAGATTTTCAGAAACATTCAGTATACAATTAATTAAGATTTGTGACGGCTCACTTAAATCCAGCCGTAGAATGTACACTAAAGCCCTAAAATTTTCATCGACATTATCAATTAGATCGAAGATATAATGAATAACTTTTCTGGTTCAGATAACATCACGGTTATAACAAAGGAAGGGTTCAGAAACACAAGCCCATAAATAAATCAAAAGAGATTTTCAAGTGCAACAATATTCACCTGAGTATATCCCTAGAATGCAAGGCTTACGTTGAAAAAAAGTAGAATGCTATTTTTTTCCTACAATGCTGTGCAGGTTTTGCTGGAAAATGGCACGGTTCAAGTTACCATAACCAAGCCTGAAGGGAATGTTGCAGGAGTCAAATATGGAGGAATGGACAATCTCTTGGAGGCATAATAAGAAGAATCTGACCGGGTATATGTGCTCTCCCATCTTTTTTGGATTGGATATCTTCGGATGCTAGCTGATCTTCAAGAGATAAATATATTTCAGAAAGCATCGTGTCATTGAGACTTATATTGCCTCCTTGTTGATCACAAACCGGTTCTCCCACAAGTACTGGGACATGAACTGGAATGTTGCCAATGAATCAGATACTTCTGACTTGTAAGTTGCATCCTAACTTCCCATTTAATGTATGTACTTGAGATAGACTTTGTAAAAAGGACAGAAAAGGAGAGATCAGCATGTTCTTTGACTACTCAAATGCAAGTGACATACTTAATTCCGCACTCATTGGTCGTTTTTCCAGGGGAGAGACAGGGAGGGCGTAGACAGAGAGAGCAAGCGAGAGCGCGCAGTGGCGAGAGCGGGAGCTAGAGCCAAGACAGAGATAGCAAGCGAGAGTGAGAGCGCGCAATGGCGAGAGCTAGAGCTAGAGCCGAGACAGAGAGAGCAAGCGACAGCGAGAGCGCGCAGTGGCGAGGGCGAGGGTTCACTGAGGAAAGACATAAACTCGACTGACGACTGACGGTCAGTCAAGAATCGAGGGCCTTTTCTTTGCTTTATTTCCTCCTTTGTCTAAGACTGACATAACTGTAAAATTAAATGGTACACAAACCCAAAAGTCCAAAGTAAAAATCCAAAGATTTCTCGAGGTTCTCGCATCAAAGGGCCCTGATTCAGCCCTGTGAACTGGACTGCAATACTCAAACACACGTAGAATGACATCGCACTCATCCATGCACTAGTTGAGTAATTAAGAAGAACGACATTGTTTCATTAATAGTATTCATATCGATGAGTCAAATATATCTGCAAGTCTTTCTATCTATCGAGTTTGGCACCAATCTCTTTCCCTCTATAATATGGAACAAATGATTGAAAACAGACATGATTGTACGAAACCACAATATATTTTACTTATAAACACAACCACACTTCGCGTCTGAAAATTTTTCTCTTTTCTGTATGTCATTGATTTCTTTTTCAACCACCTGGAGAACAACAGCCTTAATGGAGGCATTGTGAGAATCTTGGAGCTCTACATAATACGAAGCGAAATGTGGTTAATAAATATCCCAGTCCGTGTCTACCTGCTACTTTAAACCTCTGCCATGTACAGCAATTTTCCAAGAAACCTGAGTTCATAGCAGATACGAGAACGAGCCATATTATAACCTGAAAGTTCTGATTAATTACATTGGTCAGAATCACTATGGTCTTAGCGTTGCCTCCTAGTTTCATTCTTCACGTGTGAACCTTCTTTGATCCTTATGTAGATTGAAGTTTGTGCTTGTGCATCTTCTCTCGTGTACAGATGGCTGCAAGAAATCAACATCTGCAAAGAGACAATTCAGAACATCAGTTTCATAGACATGTAGGTAATTCAAGTTATATATAAAAACAAATCCATACCTATAATTTGTCAGTAAGCAGATACAAAACCGAACCAAAACCTTCCAATGTGTGCGCAGGACTGTAAGTTTGAGCTAGACTTGGACGCACTCACAATTCCTTGTACATGCTGG